AAATACTTCCAGTTACCATATAAATTTTTTATATAATTATAATTATATATTAAAATAATAATAATATATTATTGTATAATAATATTATATAATTATACAATAATATATTATTATAATAACAACAACACAACACAAAATTCGAATTATATTATATGAAAAATGAATAATAATAATTGAATAAATATAATACCGTGATAAACTTCGGTTGCACCTCGGAAAAATCGAGGTATGTAATTTTCCAGAACGGTTAGTGTAGTATTCACATCCTCAAGGACACCAACAACCGCATAATGTTTCTCGACAGCTAATTTGGCACGTTCTAAGGCTCCCACCGTGTTGAAAGGACTTTAAATGGTAGGTAATACGATTTATTATTATTTTTTCAATAAAACAAATGTATTGACAACGTTGATTAATAATAATTGTGCGAAATATATCAATATATGTAAATATACATGAAAGTGTGTATGTATTATCGTGAAATACGAAAATTAGACAATGTCAGGATTAACATGATTGCTTGGTGTATGTTCAAAACATTAATGTATGAGAATAAACTCATAAATTCGGTCTTTCACCAATATATTTATTTGGTATATGTCGACATTCACCACGTGAATGATGACATTCTTCAATTTCGGTTTTTTCACGATAACATATATACAGGGTGTATTAAAACTAATGATAATAAATAAGTTACGTGGGATGACTTGTAGATCCTGTAGATGTATGAAAGAATTAAATAAAAATAAACTCACGTGCACTTTTCACTGTGTCCACAAAAGAAAAGGGTTTGTCTACGATGATCACCAATACCCTCGTGTATTTCTCCTTCCAAATAACGACACTCTCTGTCACCCTTCAACACGCACGTCTCAAAGTCTTTCTTTAACCAATTCGGATCGGGTAAGGGTAGATCAGGGAATATTTGTTTCCTTTCCACGTAATACCAGGGTGCTCTGACGTAATAATACCAAGATATAACCCTTTCAACTGGATCACGAACAACGTTTATGTAAATTGGTTCCGGTAAATTGAACCTAGGGAATTATTACAAATTATTGATAAATGTTAGGGGTTTCTTTTTCTTTTTTTATTATTATTCATCCCCGTTGACATACAATAAGATCCTATGAGATCTCATTAGTTTTATGTGTCGTTATAAATTTTGATGTATTTTTAACGCATTCAATTAAATATAATATGTTAGGGTGTACACGTGACACGGAATTTGTTAAATATAATTGTTCGACAAATGAAATAATATTTTTCCAAAGTTTTTCGTATGTCAAAAGGGATGATTGACGAATTTATTTGTATAAAAAAAAAAGGGAAAAAAATTAACGGCTAAGACTCACTTGGTGAAATTCGTGAAACACACGTGTTTAACGTAAACCGATGGTTCCGAATAACTGCTGACCATTCTGGCTAGTTGAAGCTAAACAAAATGACAAATTGTTATTGTTTATTTGTTTACTTAATATATTCCCACATCTCTGTCCAATTCAAGCTGAGCTGTTTTGATTTTGAAAGCAAGCATTCATCCAATTTTCAATCGATGCAAACAATTACTATTCAGTTGAAATGATTTGTGATAATCGAGTAAAATATTTGGTAAGAAGGGGAAGGTGGGGTTCGTACCTGCTCAATTGGGGCGAGACGTATCGTTTCAACTCTTTGAACTCGATCTCTGTTGAAGGAAAACCCATTCCTCATGGAAAGCCTTCTTAAAAGTTCCATAAATGTTTGAGAACCAACTTTTGGTACGCGATTGAAGAAAAGTACCAATCTGTCGGTTCTCTTCGTGTTATTCAATCCATCGATGTCCTCCGTTTGTTCGTACTAAAAAATAAATAACGAATTTTTTTTTTTTACAATAATGTAATACGATTTATTTGACTTTTTATTTGCCTAATTCGAGAAAAGTAAGTTCAACGGTCTAGTCATTTAGGATTTTTCGTTTCAGGCGAACGAAATACTTTTAAACGATTAAATTTTTAATAAGAACAATTTTCAAAAAGACTGAATGTAAATTTTTAATAAAACAATCCGCCATTTTTGGTCCGCCATTTTTTCGTCCGCCATTTTTTGTCCGCCATTTTTGTCCGCCATTTTTCGTCAGCTATTTTCTGTCCGCCATTCGGTTCAATAAAGTAATCAAATTTGTTTATATTTAATATAAATCTAAATACAAATTTAATACGATAAAATATTAGTAAATTTGAACCATTATGTTTTATTTTCGCTTAACAATAATAAAAAATTAGAAACCGTGGGATAATATAGGATTGGGATGCTGCACGTCAATGCATCGTGACGAGTAAGAGTTCGCAAAGCTTTTTTAATTCGAATAAGAAAGAAAAAAGATGAAAATAAGATCGAGTCCATTTCTGGTAAGCTTAGAAACAGGTAAGAAAAGGTGTATACAGTCACTTCCTGAAGAGTCTCAAGCATCTGGCAGTCCTACCGATCGGTCAACGTACTCGATGCCGATCATAGGGAAGTATGTACATTCTTGATGCGTGTCTTACATCAGTTACGTTTTACCAGCTTTATACTACTATCTAGATACACTTACTATCATTCGAAAAAAACTTTCAAGTCATTCTTTCTGACTTAGAAACTCGAGAAAAACGGACTCTTCGAAATGATTTTGTTTAACTTTTCATCCCTGACAGATGAGATTTAGTATCGTTACAATATACGTAAAACAAAAATATCGATAATGAAACATAGAAGTAGAAATAGAAAAATAAAAATGTCGCGAATTATAATTTTTACTTTTTAATTCTAATTTATAAATCATTTTTGCACAATCCTAATTATATTTCAATTATGTTTACCAACAACTCTCTTGAACGTTTTGAAATATTTTCTATGAAATTTATTTCGACACACTTAAAAGAAATAAAGTAATTCGATAGGTTAGATAAAAGTAAAATTGTCGAGTAAGACTCGACAAAGGATCCTCCTGTGATAAAAATAAACGTCGAGTCACACTCGCGACATAGGAGTGTAAAGGATTAAGAAAAATGACGTCATTAGGCAAACGATATCGTTATCGCAATTACGCTTTCATCTATTTTTATACACATATATAATATATAGGCTGGTAAGAATAAATAAATATCTAACCCATTTGTTATAACATCCTGCATTTAATTTAGAACATTATTTTCCAAATGATTATTTTCTAAGAATTTAGAACGAGTATCTATTTCTTAAAGATCAATTACTTTCTAATTAATTACGATTAATCTTGGTTACTTGTGTTCTCGAAAGATCGAAAGTGTGTGTGTGTGTATGTGTCTCTTCTTAAAAAGTATAGAAAGGTGTATATTCTTGCAATAGAACTGAAACAAACATAAATCGTGTAAAGGCTAATTTGGAGTCAATAAAAATCGGCATGTCTTGTTTCTTTTCCTACAATGTAAGTGAGAGGATCCCAAGCGAATGAATTATTTCCGATTACGGTGCTAACGTCTTCTACTCGTACGATTAATGGTACAGCTATTGGTAAAACTATTTTTCATTTTATGATGACTTTGTCGTGTCTCGATAGCTTTCACCGTAAACGATTTCGAATGTCACTTGTTTTTTCTTTTCTTTTCTTTTTTTTCTAACCTTAACTTTGTATCTCTAACCTAAGAAATACTTGCACTTGAATTTCTCAAGTACTATTATCAATCAAATATATTACCGATTCATTACGTTTCATTATTAACAATAATATTTATCAACT